CAATTTGGCTTTCTCTGAATAGGCAGTACTCTGGGTAAGAAAGGAAGTAAGGAAGTCATTCTCATTCTAATCATCATCAAATTACATTACAAGCTGAAAACAAGTTTTTTCTTTTGGCCAAAACAGAATGAAAGAGTGTAGCAAGAATGCAAGGCCAAAACCAAAGAAGATGGATAATAAGCATTAGAAATAGTTTGGGGGTGCAAATAATTTTTAGAGGTCATACACCAAAATTAACACTGTACCACATCTTTTGTCTCATGGGCACACAATTTAAAAAACATATTCTCAAATGATTAAAAAAAAAGTGAGAAGAGTGGCCAAAAATGAACATGATTTTTTAAAAGAGGGCAACAAAAATACTAATCTCTTAAGATAATATAAATCTTCTACATTCTCCACATACCATAGAAATGATTTGGTTTAGCTTTCAAATATCACTTAAGCAGAAAACAAACAAGACAGAGTGGGAAGTTCTGCTGTGGTTTGCAAAGGGGGCAGGGTGGCTGCTGATAGCTCCTTTCTCGTGCGTGGTGGTGGTCTTCTTGGCTACAGTACAAGTGCTTGTGCATCAAGTATAAAATACAAGCCTTTAATCACATAGATCAGCTTTTTAGCTTTCGTAAATTTAAAAACAAAAAGGATAAATAAGGCACTGTACTTTTTAAAACGAAAACTTCTTGGTTCCAAGTTTAAAACCCAAGGAACAACCAGAATATAATATATAACTTCCCTTAGCCTCAGAGAAGGACTCTGTAAGTTCCCTTCTCCACCTGAGACACATTTTCTGAGATCTCAAACTGTGGTGTTCTCTATTAACTGTAAATTGAAAGGCTTGATAAGCTTATAAAAGCAGATTTAGTTAATGCAAAATAAAAGGTTACTTCTACAACAGTTCCTCTCTTGGCTGCCATCCTTCCATCACTTTGCATCCAGTCGCCTTCGTTTGTTATGGGCAGAGTCCATCTTTGCCTTGAGCTTTCGTTTTCTCTGGGCTGCCCTGCTTTCTGGGTTTTTTGTCAAGGGTCTGGTCCGGGTCTTCCCACTGCTTGATTTCCTGTTTGTGGCTTTCTGGGGCCTTGAAGGGGATTCACTGGCCCCCTTTTGCTTTGTATGTTTTGAAGATTTCCTCAGTGCTTCTGAGGAGGCAGTGGTCTGGGTAGGCTTTTTGTTTGTATTCTCTTTTTCTTTCCTGGAAGGAGGGCAGCTCTTCCGAAAGGGCTTTTTAGGGATCCTCACTGTATTCTCTTTCGGAGACATCTTTCTGGGCAGCTGGCTAGTTTTGTCCCTTGTGGCCAGCCTCTTAGCAGGAGGGGCGCGGGTGGCTCCATCTACATGCTTTTCTTTGCTAGCTTTCATTGCTGGCCCCCTGTCCTTACTGTCCTGAGCACCGCTGCCTTCTGTCCTCTTGCGTTTGTTCTGTCCTTCAGCTTTAAGCAAGACTTCAGGAATCTGCTTCCCTTTCCTTCCTTTTATTCCTTCAGCACTCTTGGGCTTAACAGGAAAGCCGTCTGCACCCACTTGGAGGGCGAGCTTGGGGGACATCAGAGGGTTGATGCACACGCTCTTCCGACTCTGCTTAGTTTCTGAAGTCACACCTAGTGTATTGTCTGTGTTTATCAATCGTTGCTGGGCTCTGAGCTTCCCTCGGATATTAGAGTATTTTCTAAGGATCCGGGTGCTGGCTGGAGTGGGAGAGTTCGTGGGAGGATGGCTATTTCTACCTTCCTTGACTTCCACACTATCTTCAGAATTAGGCCCGAGGCTGACATCACTGCTGCTGTCTGGCTCTACTTGGTCAGAACTCTCTCGAAGTTTAGCCCAGAGCTTCTGTGTTTTCCAATTATTCCTAGCAGGAGTAGCTCCAGGAAATTTCTTTAAATGTTTTTTCAAGCGTTCAGCCTGCAGTGAACTAGGATACAGGCTGGAAGGAGAGTACTTCTGAAGAGGATGCTTGACAGGGGGGATGTCTCCTGGAAGACGAGTATTAAGCTTTTTCACAATGACCAGAGACCGTGTTTCAGTTGTCTCTAAAAACCACTTGCAAACATTAGACAATTTGAAGTTGGTCATAAACAGCATCTGAACAGGGGAAATTCTTTGACTCTCCAATGCACCCCTACATTTCCGTGATCTTTTTTTGCTTTTCCAAATCTCCTTCAGTTTATCAGACTTATTTCTTGCTCTTGCTGTTGGCTGAGCTTCTTTCTCCAACTGGATCCAGCCCTTCTGAACTTTCATGTACTGGGCATTAAAGTTGGCGATAAGCTCCTGGTTCTCCTCCTCAGCACACCACTCCACAAACTTGGGCTGTTCATCCACCACCGTGTCCACATCGTCCTCATCTAAGGGGTCTGCACTTTCCAAACCTTCACTTTCCCTGGGCATGGGGTTTACTTGTGCACCTTCCTTTTCTGAAGACACTTTCATCATATCCAAGGAGTCCAGAGAATGAGCGTGTCTCAGGTTGTAGGTTGAAGAGGTCAATCTTTTAGGCCTTGCTACCAACTTTGGTGGCTCAGCAGTGTCTTCACCTTGACTACCTGAAATCCCACAGGAGCCAGATGGAACAAACTTGGCATCATCTTTTTGCTGGGTGTCCTCACTGTCTACCTCATTTGCAGCTGCCTCCACCTCTTGTGCAGGTCTGTGTCCTGGTCTCTCTTTTGATTGCTCTGGGTCCCTCTTATAAGTCATGCTTTCTGAGGGGAGGTGAGCATCTTTCTCACTCACCTTGGACTGGACATAGATCTCCAGCCTCTCTCCATGCAGTGGCTGGCCAACTGCAGTTCTGGGGTCACTGTTGGGGAAAGGTCCCCCTTCTTCCCTCTGGACTTCTTTTGCCAGCATGCTTTTAAAAGCCTGCCTTGTGATGATCCCACCTCCTTCACCCTCCTGCTCTGCATCACTCTCAGAGGGGCATTCATTGACATTCAGGTTTTCCATGTCCTCTAGATCTTCTATAGGGACACTGTCAGCTGGCAAGTCCTCAGGTGTTGTCCCACCAGAGTCTTCTTTTTTAGAATGCTTTGCACCAGGATTTTTAGAAACCTGGACCTCAAGACAAGCAGACGAAGAATCTGAACTTTGATTTCCTAGACACCTATCAGCAGAGGAAGACTCTGAAAGTTGACTTCTTAGGCACCTGTCAGAGGTCTCAAGGAACTTTTTACCTCTTTTCTTCTTGTCTGAATTCTCTTCAGGTGAGTCACTGTTTGGACCACACATATCTTTTTCTGAAGAATATTTTAAGTCACTGTCTACTTCTTCCAGTTGTCCTGTGCTACTTGCTGCCTTACCTCCCTCATCTCCCTCGATCTCACCAAGATTTTCATTACTGAAAGTGCTGCTTTCCAGCAGGAGTGAGTCAGTGCCTAGCTCCTGAGTGTCTCCAGTCTGGGCCTCGGTACTGATGCTTTGATTGCGCTCAGCCTGTCCTAGATTCAGGGGAGGGTCCAGGGCCATGGGGGAACTTTGATTTTCTGAACACAGAAGGCTTTCTTCTCTGCTGACTGTTTCTGGAGAAGACTGAGGCCTCAGAAGGTCTTCACCACCTTCCCTGGAAATGCTGTCAGTTGTGGGAAGCAGATGGAAGTCCTGGAGTACATTCACCTCCACTGCATCCAGCAGGGCACGTGGTTGTTGGTCTCTTTCAGGGGAAGACACTGCATTTGTTGTGGGAGCTGAGACCACACTATTGCCTTCCAGCATGTCCTTGTCAGGGAGGTGACCAGACAGATGACACAGAACACTGGATGCTGTCGTCTCTGTTGACCTAGGGGAACTGCCAGAATTGGGTTCACTCATCGTGGGGCGAACTTCAGGGTCCTGAGACTCTTTTGCAGGTGAAGTGTCTCTGCTTTTCTCCCTGAGGGAGGTTATTTCCTTACTAGGTTCTTCAGGGCTGTCTTCTCTAGGAAGCTGCACATCCACCAGGCACCTCGGGGATGGAACTATAAGGTCTGGGTTAGGAGTCACCACTGCTGCTGACGCCAGTGATGAGCTCCCCTTGTCCTGGGAGTGTAAATTTCTGGCCAGGGTGCGAACGGTTGGCAGTTCACAACAATCACCATTGAAAAAATATCCTCGAGTACTCTTCCTGGCTGTTTTCCGAGAAGATAATAGGGATCGTTGAGTCTCAAAGTGGCATTCTGTTATTGGTTGACTGATATAAACAACATCGCACTGGTTATCATAATCATTTATCCTCAACCCTGATGCCCTTTTACTTTTCCGAGCAGTCTTGATGGAGGGTGATATCATCTTGTTTCTTGAATGCCCATTAGATGCTCTGTGTATAGCTGGCATAGAACTGGGGACCAACCAACCATCTTTGGAATGATCAAACTGGGCCTTGTCACTGGGATGTGAGTGGTAACCCACCTTACTTCTTCCTAGCGAGTGAAGATGGTTCTCTTGCTTTGGCCTTGCATCTTGTTCGTTTGCCTCTAAATCCTGGCACAAAGGTGTTTTTGAGCTACTCTGTAAAGCATTCTCTTTGTCAGCACTTCTAGGTGAGTTCCCCATAAACCCTGAGTCCCACCTCTCTTCTGATAAAGCTTTGAATGAATTTCTTTGAGAAACAATACAGCTATTGCCCTCTTCACTATTCTCAGATGTCTTTTTTACTGCAACTAGACTTTCTATTAAAGCTGAACTCTGCACATGGTCTTTACCATCCTCGCATGTTTTCATATTTGTGTCTTGCTCCTGTGCAGTGGTTTGTCCCTCCAAGCTTTTAGAGATGTAGTGGAAGTTCACTGAGGAAGAATTAGGTGCAGTGAGGTATCCCAGAGCAGAACTATTTGTTGAACTGCCAGAATTAGGTTGAGTAGCTGCAAGTTCAGGGGAATCTTTCTGGACAACAGTCAAGGCATTGTCTCTTCCATCTACAGAGATTATCTCAGGAGGAGGTTCCTTCGGGATCTGTTCAGTCACGTGTAGAGAGCTATGAGAGCCCGACGAGTCCATGAATGAATCTACAGACGAGGGCGACTTCCTACCAAGACACACAGCATCCTGTTCCTTATGCCTGTTGCTTAGCTGGACACAGGCAGCACTGCAAGTGGATGTCTCCATTGCTCTAGAATCTGAAGGCTGCAGGTCCTCAGTTCCTGGCTGAGATTCAGTGTACAGGTCACTCAGAACACGAATGAATTGCTTCTGATGATGAGTGCACAGTTTGACCATAAACTTCTCCAGTGGGGACTTCGACTGATTGTTAGAATCTACTGCTAGGACCTCTGCTGAGTTCTCACTAGGCAAACAAAGAAAAAAAGGGAATTAGTATGGTCACTTTCCAAAGAACCACTTTTATATTCTGAAACTCACCAGATTATATTCATGTTGTAAACAGAATGGACACTGATATTGTTTCTAAGTGTCCCATTTACTTTGACTTAATAAATAATCTTAACCTAATCAAAATATAAGATGAGCTTATTATATCTTCAATGTATTTCATACTTTTTTATGTGGTGTGGGAGATCAAACGCAGGACTTTCCATATGCTAGGCAAGTGCTCCACCACTGAGTTACATCCCAAACTCTTTTTCATACGTATGTGTACGTATGTATGTGTGTGTGTGTATTTACAAATATAAATATTTGGGGGGGGTACTGGAGTTTGAACTCAGGGCCTTGCACTTGCTAGGCAAGAACTCTACCACTTGAGCCATCCCCTAGCCCTTTTCTGTTGTAGTTATTTTTCAGATAGGGTCTTGTGTTTTTATGGCCAGGGCAGGCCTTGGGCCTCAATCCTCTTATTTATGTCTCCCACATGGTTGGGATTAAAGGCCTGGTTTGTTTGCTGAGAAAGGGTCTCACTAACTTTTTACCTACGTTGGCCTCAAAACACAATCCTCCCAATCTTCACTTCCAAGTAGCTGGAATTATAGTTGTGTTCCACTATGTCTGGCCCCTCCTTCATACTTCTTAAGTGATTATTCAGAAATAATTATCTTACACGGAGAAATATTGAAAATGTATTTTTTAAATAAAAAAATACAATTTGGCCATACTATTAACTCTACTTGGTCAACATATACAGGCTGAGCACTGGTAATCCAAAAGTCTGAAATGCTCCAAAAATATGAAACTTTTTGAGTGCTAACATGATGGTATAAGTGGAAAGTTCTATATTATGAAACTTTATTTTATGTATAAAATTATTAAAAGTATTGCTTGATTACATTTAGACTGTGTCTAAGGTATACCTGAAGCATAAATGAATTCTGTGTTTCGAGTTGAGTCCTACTCTCAATGTATCTCATTATGTATATTCAAATATTCAAAAATCTGAAAAGTTCTGAAATAATACTTTTGGATAAGGATACTCAACCTGTACTTTTGCTTTAGGTGTAGGTATTCCTGTTAAATAATCACTGGTTTATAAGTCCATAATACTGACAAAATTCAGAAACACTGTATTACAAGTCTTGATATAGATGTACTTAGAGAACTTAATTGTTTTAAGATGATCTATCAGCAAATAGAATTGGCTGGATAATTTGTAAGAGTGACCTGGAAATAGTTTTAATTTCACATTTTGGATACTTTGAAAAATAGAATGACAACCAAGTCTGGATTTCTAGACTGTAAGTGAGGCAACAGATATGAAATTGTACTGTAAAGTATAAAGTTTTGTCAATGTAAGGTAGTAATACTGTCTTCACAGCCTCACCCATCATATTCCCTCCAATAAACATTTTACAGTCACCCACAGAAGTTATTCTACATTAAAGTACTCCCTCCACACACCAGGAAGTATTTTCTTAAGTTATCTAGGACAAACTCCTAGAGCTTAACCCAGATAGTGGGGGGTGCAGGAAATGACAATTCGGGGTTCAAGACAGGCTACAATCAATGCCTGATAAGATGTCCAAGGATTTTTGTAAGTTGCTTTGTGCTTCTGGATGTCTGAGTTTTAATGAGCCACACAATTTGGAGTGCTTTGATATCTTGGATTTTGACCCAACTCACTATCAATCTCTCTCTCCATTATAATTCCTCAAGAGACTATTTTCTGACTGTATACAAAACACGGCAGAGCATGGAGGGTAGCTTAATAATGTGTGTATTGAACAGATATTTGGTAATATCTTGTAGTTAATTCTTCTTTTCTCTCATCTTTGACTTTTACCTGTCCGTGCTGAGATGCCAGGACAGGAAGGCTTACTCCAACCTACATCCCCTCTATCTCCACTTCACAGTGTGGCTACAGTGGCAAGAACATAGGTAGTGGGATACAAGACACCTAGAATCCACTACTAGCTCTGACACTTATGATTCTACATCACCTTAAGCCTTGGCTTCTCAGCTGCATATTGCAACTGAGTATCAGTATCTTGAGGGATTGTTATGACATAGTAGATAACATACATAAGGACAAATGCTTAGACAATTTTAGTCTCTCTGTTCTTAATTCAGAGAAATCTTTTTTTTTGAGAAGTCTGTTTATGGAGTTCAGACTGGCTCTGAACTCATGCTTGTCCTGTTTCGGCCTCCCAAGTACTGGGATTACAGCTTTCTATCACCAGGCCTGACACTCAAGAAGATTTTTAAGACTGAGTGGTGAAATGGTTGCTGAAACTCATCTTAACAAAACAAAACAAAAACCCAAGGAACTGATTAGTCATTTCTGTTGCTTAACCGAAATTGCTTTACAAGAAAAAAGGTTACATTATGTTTTTATTTCCAGAGCTTGTAAGAGAGCAGTTTTACATGGGAGAACCATGAGTTTCTGAAAGCCACATTGGACCACAGATTGGAGAGGTCAGAAAGATGTTGGAAAATATTTATCCGAAACTCAACACTGATCACTGAATTGTGACTACACCAAGAAAAAAGATTATTACTGAAGTCTTACGAAAGGTACATGGGATACTCTTTAAGATGCCAGTTTGGCTCCATTGTGCCAGTTTGGCCCTGGCAATGGGGCCAAACTGAAGGGAAGAAAAGACCTAAAGCAACTAGACTGACTCACCAAGTGGCACCCTTATGGTGTGTGTACTGAAGTACACTGTACTTCAATAAAAATGTTTCAAAAGGCAACATCTGGAAAGTCAAGCTCCTCCTGCTGTGCAAGAATGGCAAACACTATCTTCTTGCTTCAGAAGGGGGCAGGACACCAGTCACATTCTTGGTGCATGACTGCTCGGTCATTTCCATTCTTGGATGCAACAAGGTGCACAAGGGAGCTCAGCAGGCTCCTAAGACAGCTGTGGCCTTTCCTGAGCACCCAGGACTGAGGAGAAGGCCCTGCTGCCAACCACAAGGAGAGGTCCTTAGTGGCTATGTCTATTAGGTGGTTCCAACGGCATAGCTTTTTCAGGGTACAGAACATGTGAGTGGGACCTTGCCCCAAGCACTTAATCATTTAGATGAATACCTGCCCCATCTACTGTAGTAAACCTGACTCTCTAAATACACACACACACACACACATACACATACCCAAAAAAAAGAAAAGAAAGAAAGAAAAAAGCCACAATGGGAACCTGTATTAGATGATCAGTAGTATTAAAAGATCAGTAGCTGATCTTTTACCTTTAGTAGAGCACATACTTTTATTTTCTAGTTGAAAAACCACATCTCAAAAACTACAATGGTACATTAAGAAAAATAAATAGCTCTGAATGAGGGTTTGAGGAATAGTTCTATGAGAAATACATGGATTTTCTAACAACTTCCACTGTTCAGAGGCCTTCATTCCCTACTTCCTGGTTCCTCGATGTGTTTCTGAGGTTGCCAAGGTTGGTGACTATAAATAAGTGGAATATTACTGTGATTTTACCAAATCGAACAACATACGGTGTTATTTTAGCAATACACAAAAAAGCCAAAAAGGTTGACAAAGGTCAGTGAAAAAAGATTAAGGAATATCATAACATTTTCTTATAGAAAAAACTAAAGAAAGAAAGGGTTCTTCCCAATTCAAGAAGTGCAATCATTATCCAAGTCTTCTGGATTATGCGTCATGCCTATGTCTGTGTTCTAGAAGCAAATTTTAGTGCTTGGAACATCAACATGCCTCAAGATGAAATCAAGACATATACCCAAGGACATGGCAGAAGCATTGTCCTCTAAAACGATGCTTACACAGTAATCCACAGGTGATACAACTTCCTTATGGTTGAAGACTTGAATCTGCTGCTGTCCCATAAGTAACTTAACAGTACTTCAATATTTTCATGTTCTCCACCAAATAAAAGGGTCCTCTTACCAGGTCATCATTGCCCAGCTCAAAATTATCACCACCTGGATTGACAGCATCCTTCCCTGAAAATGTGAGCCACAGTTACCTATAAAATTCATTGGTTATTACATGGGCTTTGTATAGCTATCCAATAATTTTTATCTTTAACTGAATTTCTCTTGTTGTCTAAGCTTACTAAACTACCTGAGCATAGGAAGGGACTGTATTTTAGGTTTTTCTGTTTTTTTCCATAGCAAAAAAAAAAGGGGGGAAAGGAAAGTGGGCATTATGGGTGCTTCCCAGGTTTTCTTCCCAGGCAGCAAAATTTACTGCACTAGAAACACAAGCAGCAAAGATGGTGGCCAGTGATGTGTCTGATGTGCTCATACTGAATTGTCTGACAATTTGGAGCCCATCAATAGCTTCCTTGGACTGAGAGCTTGTGCATTAATACTAACCTTTGTCCAGGTGTCATTAAATGGCCCTGTAATAATAGCTAACTTTACAACTACAGTTGTAATCAAATCACTTTTGGCTGTGCCTCAAAATGACCCAGTTTCCTATCTTATTATTTTTTTCCTAAAAATTTTTTTCAGTAAGACCCAAGCTAGATAAACTTGATCATTTGGGTATTTAATTTTTAAACTTAACTTTCACTTCCTGAAGTTCAATTCTATTACTGTTTTTTTCTTCACATTTTAGAAAATGAGTGTTAGCCAGTTTTGCCTTAGTTTTAAACAGCTAGTCTTTACCTTTGCATTCATTAATTCACTTTTCCAAGCAGCCTTAGATCTTTAATAGAGCCTGACTACAGCACTTGCATTAACTCGCATTACTGTTAGGCAGCTAGCAGGGAACCCAGAGGAGTGACTTTCTGTTCTGCAGACATTGCCTCAACTCCACCTATAGAGGAAGTTCTGATTCAGTCCAGCAATCATACTCTGAATCACATTATGTCCTTCATACCAAATAAGTAAGATCTTTACAAGAACAAAAATTCATCACGGGTGTACTTTGAGTTCATGTTTCTCCTGCTCAACAAAAGGTCTCTCAGTAGTAGTTAAGTGAATTTATCAAGCAAAAATACCTGAA